ATCTGGAGGATTCTGGGTTAGTTTCTTGTCTTTTGGGCTCCTCATTTGCTCATCTCTAAAATGGAGACGATGGTGTTCCCCAGCTCCCAAGCTGGATGTGAAGGTTAAATGATTTGGTGTCTCAGGTTGCTGAGCTCTGTGCTGGGTCGATGGCTCAGTGGACAACATTGCCAACATGGTGATAAAGATGGAGACCTGGGAGCCACTGATGGAGCCGGGCTGGAGATGACCAAGAGCCAGATGGCTGTCACCAACTCCGGGCTCCATGGATGCCGGCTATACTGTTCTTTTGCAACTAAGAAAAATTTGACATTAGTTTATTTTAATAGGTCATATGCATCCAAGTGGTTTAAAAGTTAAAAGGTGTACAGAAATATGCACAGAAAAGAAAATTTGCTGCCTTCCCTGTCCCTGAAGTCTTCTGTCCCCCTTCTCAGAGGCAGCCGTTGTCGTGACTTTCTGGGGTGTCAGCAGATAATGGTAATGATGATGAGAAAAAGAGCAAATACTCTTTTAGACTTACTGTGTGCCCAGCATTGTTCTAAGTGCTTATATTAATTCATTTAATTCATATACATATGGATTAATTCATATTCATGTTCATTTATTTATATTCGTATTCATAACGTATTAATTCATTTAATCCTCACGAGAGTGGCTTACCAGGTAGGTCCCACTACTATCACTACTTCTCAGAACATATAATTAAACATTTTCACTCTATTTTTTCCATTGGAAACATTTATTTACATCTTCCCAATCCCAGTGAATAGGAAAAAAGCCCTAAATGACAACACTCCTTAGGGAAGAGTATGGGCCATGGTCATTTGGGAGACTTCACAAAGGAAGGATGGGGAGAATACAGGTTGTGGTATGGAGCGTCTACAGAGAACTCCACAAAGAGTCTGGTGTCTCTTACTCCATCTCCCCCACAGCACAGCCGGGGGGCGGTTAGGGATGACTGTCTCCATTTTTACAGGTGAGAATAGCAGGACTCAGAGGAGCTAAGTGACTTGCCCTAAATCTCACAACAAGTCCCAAGCTGGCATGTAACCGTCTCAGGTCTCCTGACCCTTAGCCTGAACTTTTGCTGCTGCAAAATGGCGTGCTGGAGGGCATGCATAAGTAAATGTGGGGGAGTGAGAGAGAGCGAGGAGATGGCGTAGAGACTGGACTGCTGAGCAGGAGCTCATGGGCAGGGACGGGGAGCGAGAGATGGAGACAGTGTGGGTGGGCCCCATGGGGCTTCTCTTTGGCTTTGGCCTTTGGGCACAAGAAGGTCAAAGTAAAGATGCCATGCTCTAGCCTCTTCTCCTTGGGGGTCCCCAACATCAAAGCCCAGTAGGGACCCAAGAGGAAGTGGGAGTGGAACTTCTATATACTCTTCTCAGATGGGCCTTGAAAGATTTGGGGCTTCCTTTGGGGGACAGAGGAGTCCTCCTTTGTTTGAAGAGGCCGCAGAGGAGGGGGCGCACTGGGGTTAGGAGTGGACAGCAGCCTAGTTTGATCTGGTGAGCCAACTGCGCAGACAAATGGGATGGCTCAAGATACAGGCATAGTGATTCCACAGCAAAGTCTTCCTTTCTGTAGAAATTTATTAAAACTTGCTATATGTCCCTCTGTTCTTTGAAAAAACAACTTACCCAGCCTTGGAGATACAAGCCTTGGAGTGAGCAATTCAGATTATACAATTAAGTATATCTTATCAAAAAGCACCATAATGAGGAATGCACAGGTGCTATGCATGCCCTTTGGCAGAGCCACCAAATCTAGTCTAGAAGGCCAACAAAGGCTGCTCCAAGGAAGCCGCGTTTAAGCTGGGACCTGCAGAGGGAACGATAGTGTACTGGTCAGGGGAAGAAGACTTCTAAACAGAGGGAGGCCTGGGGTGAGAAGGATCTCATTTCAGAAACTGAAGGAAGATTATCATGGCTGGAGCTAAGATGCAAGGGGGAGGGGCACAGTGCCTGGTAAGCACAGAGTAGGTGCTCAGAAATTATCTGTTGAATGGATTAATGAGATGCAGCTGGAGAGGTAGCTGGCAACTTGTGTAGGGCCTTGAAGGTCATGTTAAGGTTTTCAGATTTTGTCTGAAGGGCCATAGGGAAGTCAGTCTCTCCTCCTATAGGATTTGCTCTATTGATGTGTGCTTGGTGATTCCAATGTAGCTATGGGGTTCGAACATTTGGGTTCTCTGACTTGGGGTTTGGCCAGGCATGTATGATATAAGGATCTTGGGTAAAGCCAAGATATCCAAGTCAAGCACGTTGGGTAAGCCAGTTAAGCATGTTGGCAAGAGAGATTGAAGTGATGGGGCATGGAACCTGGGCAGGAGAGAGAAGAAAGTGAAGACGGAAGGGGGCTAATGGGAGAAAGTGGTGTATATGTGTTTATGGACTGAAGATCTTGGTGGGGCAAAGATCCAGGGGCTTTGGGAAGGACAGATGAGAAAGCAGTAAGGCTGACGGGCTGTAACTTGATGACTTCAGGGATGTTGACTTGGAAAAGAGTGGATAAAGAGGAGTGGGAGGACAGCTCAGTGCAATGAAGTCAAGGAACTGAGGGACCAGTTTGGAAAGGGGTCATCCAAGCAGAGATCGAAGTCACTCTGGATGATGGCAGCAGTTTGGGTAGAGAGAGGCTGGAATTGGGGCTAAGACTTCAATACGTTGGAGGGTAGGATGTGGATGACTGCAGGATAGTGATTGACAAGGACAATGAAGGGAAGGTGATACAGGTGTCTGTCACGGTGGGAGCAACAGAGATGCCTGAGATCCATGTCTAAGGGAACCCCATCTAGTCAGGGGCAACCCATCTGCTTCATCTGGTGCCACCTGGATAGTCATCCAGGTACCAGGGGGACAACTGGTTTGTAGGTTAAATAGCCCTGCCACATTCTTCATGGCAACAATAGCTACCACTCAGTGGAGGCCTGCTCCGTGCCGGATGCTTTAAATGTTTGTCTGCAGTCCGTGGAACGAACGGTCTTGCAGCGTAAATGAAGGGCAGGGGTTGGGGAGTCACACTGAGCTGCGTTTGAATTCTGCACACTGCCTCTTACTGGCTGTGTGACCTTGGGCAGGTTTCTTCACCTCTCAGGTGAATTTCCTCGTCTGTAAAATGGGAGAAGCATACTCTCATTGGAGTCGTGGTGAGGACTAAATGAGCTAATCTACATGAAGGACTGGACACGGATATGTGCAAATAGACACAAGTTGTTGTTGCCATTATTATGTAACTGAGGAAATTGATGTTCAGAGAGGTTAAGTGATTTGCCCAAGGCCACACATCTAAGAAGTGGCAGCTCTGATTCAAACCTAATCAGTCTGACACTGCAGACTCTCACCACGGAATCCCACTGCTTTTCACACAATCCCAAGGGAAACTGAAGACAGAGGAGGTCACTGACTTGTCCTCGGTCACCTGCTAATAAGCAGTGGTGTTGGAGCCTGCGTCGCTGAGTGAGGTTTACACCACTGACTTTTCTGTTGCGTCCTAACTCGCTTCTAACAGAATGAGGTGGGGTGTGGACCCTGGGATGGTTCCACAGGGCCTGTGGAACAGGGAGAGGGGACTCAGTTATTCAGACTCATGAGTTTCGGCTTCCAAACCTAGAGTACAGGGATGGTAGCACCTGGGACAGTGCTGCTTAGCGTGGTGGGAAGGGCACCTCGGGCTCTGAGGCCATGTGCTCTGACCGTGCAGGCAGCAGCTGTGGCTGAGCCTCCTCTCCTCACGGGCCCCCTGGGCACCACCTCCTCCTCCAGCCTCTTCGTCCCCAGCTGTGAGGTTGTGTTGAGGGCTCAGCTTGGTCTGGGGACAGAAGCTCTGTCTCACGGGGCGAGTTGCGAGCTGCCCTTTCTCCCCATACCCCGTGGCACCTGGGAGGCTTCTGCAGCAGCCTGAGAGGTGCTCAGAGGCTCATCTGGGGGAGCAATCAGCTGGCGAAGGCAGAGACGAGATGGGCTGTCTCACTTCACTCTGGGGACTTGTTGGGCCATGGCAGCTGCGAGGCAGCCCTGGGAAGAGGCTGGTGCCCTGATGCCGGCCCCGCCTCCCCCTGCTGCAGCCATGTGCGCTGGGTGATGGAGCTTTGTCAGAATGGAGACCAGAGCCTTCACCCCTGGAGGTGGTGGAGCAAAGAGAAGTTCTGGCTGGGTCCTCAGGGTTGGGGAACATGTCACTTCCTGTTCCCCTTGTGGCTGTCCCGCTGCCTCCAGAAGAGGCTGGCTCCAGATCCTCGGAAGCTGACAGGCCCCTCAGCCACGCCGGTGCACGTGGATAGTTTTCCATTTCCTGTTTACATATGCCTTTTCTGGCATGAACTGTTGGTTTCTCTGTGCTTTCTCTCTTCTGTTATTTAACCCGGGCACGGGAGCCGGGGACTGAGGATGCCATGGGAACAGAAGGGAGCGCATGGAGCAGAGAAGCTGAATCTGTTTGAGCACCAGCTATGTGCCAGTGCTGGAAAAAATTTTATGAGTTCCAGAGACATTGTAAGGAGGAATCATTGTCTTAGAATCTGAAGACATTTGATCTGGAAGGGAAGTTAGAAACCACGTGGTCTATTCTCCTTCTCTTGCTGATAAGGAAGTGACTCATCCATAGTTCCAGACTGTTCTAATTCTTTTCTTCCTAGAAAAGCAATTGTCCTATAATCATCCTTTTTTATCAGCAAAAATGTTTTACAATACACCTGCCTCACTCGCCAGTGGAGGGACTGTCTCCGTGGACTCAGGGGCCATCAGAGGCCCCGGTCCAGCCTCTTCCTTTCACACCAGCCTGGGGCGGACCTGCCCTCTTCAGCACCCAACTTCCCAGCTCCCTCGTGTTGCATCTGCTGCCCAAATCCTAGGACTTGTCCCTTCGGGTTTTCTCCCCTGTTGCCTCTTGGCCTCTCATCTTCCTCAGGACTCAGGGAGCTACCAGCATAAGTGTCATCCAGTCTCTGCTGAAGCGCCAGCAGGAGAGGGGCGGGAAACCCTTGCAGGTAAGGGGACTTTACCTGGTTCTATGGGATGGAGTGCATCTCCCAAAGTTCATATGTTGAAGTTCCAAGACTTGGTACCTCAGAATGTGACTGTATGTGGAGATGGGGTCTTTAAAGAGGTCACTAAAATGAGGTCATTGCGGGGGGCCCTAACCCAGTATGACTGGTGTCCTCATGAGAGGAGGAGATTGGACACAGATGCACAGAGGGACGACCATGTGGGGACTCAGGGAGAAGACGGCCGTCTGCAAGCCAAGGAGAGAGGCCTCTGAAGAAACCGACCCTGCCCACACCTTGACCTTGGACCCCGCCTCCAGAAGGGTGAGACAATGCCTTCCTTTCGTGTAGCCCACCCAGGCCGGGGTGTGTTGCTCTGGCAGCCCTGGGGACTGACATAGCTGGGCTCTTCTCCAGCCACCTGGCTAGGAGTGGTTCCAGTGGCGAGTTCTGAGGCCAGCGAGGGGCGGGAAGCTCCCAGGCAGGCCCCAGGGGAGAAGTTTTTGGGTAACAGGAGGGCTCGTGTGGCTCCTCAAATCCCTGCCACAAGAGCCTGGGCCGTCGAAAGTGTCAACGGGAACTGGTGTGAGGGAAGCAAATTGGTGCCAGGGAGCCTGGGCTCTATGGACACGCGGTCCTTCCTGTTGTGGGATCTTGTGCAAGTTCCTCCCCTTCTCTGGGTCTCAGTTCCCTCGTCCGTGGAACGGAGAGAAGAATGCCTGCCCGACTCAGCTCGCAGGCTGCGGTGTGTGTGAAATAAGACGTGTAGTGTTTTGGCCATGTTAGTGATGAAGGAGATAGCTCTTTCTCTCTCACCTGCGGATGTGGGTGCCCATCCCTGGTCTCACTCTGCCATTGAGAGAGACCAAGGCATTCCTGGACAGAGGCCGCGTGGCCTTGTGGGATCTGGGCCTCGTGCAGAGAGCCCTGTAGAGCCGCGACACCTCCGCACGTGTGTGTCTTCTCCGTGAGGAGATGGATGGTGAATCGGGTGGACAGTAAAGCGTTTGTGCATCAGTGTCCACTTCCCCGAGTCTTAATTTTTCTAAATTAGAAGTGCAATGATGTGTCTCATGGAAAAATTAGAAAATACAGACAGAATAAAAGAATTTAAAAAGTGTATTATTTCTACCATTGTCAGCACCAAATGTATATATCCTTTCAGCCTGTTTTCTTTGCGTGTAGGTGTGTGTCTTTTCACAAAAAATGAAATCCTGTTGTACATAATGTTTTATAACCTATTTTAAAAATTAACAATGTATCCCAAACATCTTCCCATGTTGACCCCAATCCACCATCACCATCTTCCAGTTAGGCCTGCCCCACAGGCAGGTCTAGAGCCTGCAAATGTGCGGGGAGGGCAAGGCCACCTGGGAAGAGGCTTCTCTTCTCCGCCAGGGTCCTCGGGTGGGTGGTCTCCTGAGTCTCTCTGGAGGCAAGTGGGGTTTGGAGAACATTGACCTTGGGGTCAGACAGGCCAGGAGTCTAAGTGCAGCTCTGCCATTTACAAGCTGTAACCGGAAAAGGAAAGGGCCCTGGGCGACCCACCTCCCATTTCCGGCCTCCGTGGAGGATTAATGGCACCGTGTAAGTAAAAGAGCTTTGTAAACTGGCAGCGATTATTAATACGAGCCCGTGGATGAACAAAGGACATTTTGTTGCTTTTTCAGGAGAAAATCCAATGTCTTGAGGGTCATAAAACACCATGGAGGAATGAGTCTGGCCTGTAGGAAGAAGAGAGCTGGAGAAAGAAAAATCATATTTTAGTTTTGAGAAATGATTTGGACTTTGAGAACAGACTTCTTGGTAAATGAAGAGGTGGGGAAGCTGGATTTAGAAGGAGAGAAGAAAAAGATTAATTTTTAGGAACCTAAAATAAGGTTCCTAATAAACAGTAACAGTTGTGACGATGATGGTGATGATGATGGTAGCTAACACACAGAGCTTACGTGCCAGACGCTGTGCTAGACGCACAGTCAGATCAGACGCTTTACTTCCAAGTAGTAACTCAGTGACTCCTCTGAACATCCCTCTGAGGTCAATGCAATCATCATTCCCATTTTGTAGGTGAGGACACCGAGGCACAGAAAGATTAAGTAACTTGCCCTGGTCACACAGTGGTAAGTGGAGGAGCAAGGATCTGAGCCCAGGGCCATGTGTTTCCTTAGACAGCACACACCTGGGACCAGGTAGGTCGGGTCGCAGGGGAGAGCGCTCCAGACAGATGGCATTTGAAGGCGCCCATGTTGTCTCTTTGTCGCTGTCTATTTGGTGACAATTCGCAGTGACTGAGTAGCTTCACTTCCACTGAAGGAGGCGAGCCAGAGAGCGTTTTGGCCTGTGCTGACTTGGGAAGTGGAGAGATCAGGAAGTAAGGGAGGAGGCGCCCCTGTTTGTTATTTCTCCAGAGCCCTAGGGAGGTGACAAGTGGGAGAGAGCTACCCGCGAGGCTGCTGAGCCCGGACATTCTTGCCCATCGGCCTCCACCAGGAGGAAGTGAGGTCAGTAAGACGGTCCTCTGTGGTTTAAGAGGGCTTCTGGGGCCGAAAGTTGGGTCCTACTGCGGGCGGGCCTTGGGTTGGTGTCTCTTGGCTCACCTGGGAGCCGGCTTCTCCATCCTTCTCACCCGTCCTCTCCTGGCCCTGCACCTTCCCTCCCAGGCACAGCTTGGTGTGGGCAGCCATAGTAGGACGGAGAGGGTCATCTCTCTGTGGGGGTGGGGGGACCCCTGGGGTTACCCTGAGGCCCTGGAGAAGTTTGGAGGAAAGTCTGGGTTCCTTCCCTTGCAGGATCAATGTTGGGGGGCAAGTGGGACAGCCACTGTCAGGGGATTCCTGTCGCTGTTTGGACCCACGCTGGAGAGGCTGACAAGTAAGGACTGGTTCCTGCTGACGGCAGTCAGGCAGGGCCACTCAGAGCGTGCATGTCTGTCAGAATCACCTGGGCGTGCTGGGCAAAGACCGGGTCCTGAGATGCGCCCCCCCACCTCTGAGAACGCTACGTGGAGGTGCTGGTCTCCCGCAATCGGCTGATGGTTGGTGGATAACCGGGCCCAGGAGGCCGCACTGTGGGGAAGCAGCCTGCCAGAAGGTGCTGGAAGGCAGAGGGAGGCCTTAGCGTCGTGAAGCCAGCGAGTGGCTGAGTGGTTGTGGGGAATGGATTTGCTGATTTAGTCAACACTGTGCTGTGTGCTGTGCTGGGTGCCAGGGACCGAGGTCACCAGCACACAGTCAGTGCCTGTGTGCCGAGGGCTCAAGGTGCGATGCAGCAGACGGCGGGGAAACAGATCAACGATTGTCCCACACGCTGAGTGCGAGAGGCCCAGGGAGGGTGCCGGGGACACGTGGAGGAAGTTGGACGGGCTCTGAATGGGAGAATCCTCACAGACAGCTCTGCCCCTTCCTAATGCCGATCCCTTTTCAGGGAACTGTTCCTTCCCTGTATGTTTTACAACCTAATTTTTAAACCAACAGTGTATCACAAACATCTTTCCATGTTGACCCAAATTCATCTCCATCACTACTTTTTTTTTTTTTTTTGGTGAGGAAGATAAGCCCTGAGCTAACATCTGTGCCAGTCTTCCTCTATTTTGTGTGTGGGACACTGCCACAGCATGGCTTGATGAGTGGTGTAGGTCTGCGCCAGGGATCTGAACCTGTGAACTGGGGCTGCAGAAGCAGAGTGTGCACACTTCACCACCACGCCATGAAGCTAGCCTTACCATCACTATTTTTTAGGACTTTGTTCAGGGGCAGTTCTAGAGACCCTGAAATGTGTGAGAAGGGGGAGGGTGCCCGGGAAGTGGCTTCTACTCTCTGCACACATGCACACACACAGCACACACACTTATAAAACTTAGGTACTTTATGGCTCAATGTATATCGTTTACAGAAACTTAATTTGGAAATTTTCAAACATACACAAAATTAGAGAGAAGAGCCTAGTGAACCCCCACATACTTGTCTTCCAGCATCTGCAATTCTCAGCATTTGCCAATTTTGCTTCTTCCGTCTCCCCAGTGTATCATAAAAACCAGTCACGAATCCCTGCATTTCATCAGCGCTTCAGAATGCATCATCTCACTCCATCCCACAGCAATCCTGTCGAATTGCTCAGAGCGGTTATTATTATCTCCATTTCATAAAGAGAAAACCAAGGCTCAGAGAGGTTAAGGAAGTTTTCCAAAGTCGCACAGCTAGTGAGTGGCAGAGCCAGACAACCCAGGCCTTTTCATGCCTAATCAGGTTCTTTCGCACTGGACCATTCCAACTGTATTTTGGGACGCAGGCAGGGCTTGGTAGGGACGAGGGGGCACAGCTCTGCTAGGGGGTCCCTGAGACTCTCAGCCTACCAGGTTGCCCACTCTGAGGCCTTCCTTTTAACCCCTTTGCTTGTCTCGCCCTGCTGCCCTGCTGGTTGGAGGGGCTGGGGCAGGGGAAGGCAAATTAAGTTTTCCCAGGTTTTTTCATCTGTGGCTTCCTTGGATCGTGGCTGCAGGATGTTTATAAAACTCAGAATCAATTCGAGGCGCAGAGATTTTCAATCAGGGAGGCAGATTGCACGGATAGGGTCACAAGGCCTGTCGCCAGCGAGGATCACCGCATCTGATGTATTAATCTGAGCTGTCAGAACCAATATGCGTAACCGAGGCGTGGAGGAACGGGCCTGTATCTGAAAAAGTGTGGGAAAAGAGAAAAAGGGGGAGAAATACCACCCCATGAGAGACGCACGTTTTGCAGATTCCTGTAGAACCAGCCTGTGGCCAGCGTGCCCTCTGCTTTGGGGGAGATGGAAGCCCAGGAGGACTGGAGCCTTCTCAGTGGGGATGCTGAGTGCGTTGCAGCGACCAGGGGCCCCTCGCCCTGTACGTAAACGTCACCCAGCTTCAGGCTTTACTCTAACACCCGCTCTCTGTCCCTTTCCCCCTCCCACACTATGGAGTTCCAAAACTCCCTTGCCTGCAAAGGAGGCTGATCTGAGCCGTGGCAGGAAGTACGTTTGTTATTGAGAGCCCTTTTGTATTTAGCGTGTGAAGGTCTGTGGCTGGACTCACCAGGAATCCTGCCCCTTCCAAGGGTCCCACACAGCCCGCTTCGCATCCAGCACCCTTTCCAGCTCTTTCCTGCCCTCCCCCTCCCAGTGCTCCTGGTTGTCCCTCTCCATCCTGGCACTCTGCACCCCCAGGTCCATTCAGCCTGCTTTGGACAATCCTGTCATCCCTTCTAGACCCCAAGCTTCCCTTGCTGAGATCTGGATGTGGATGTTCTTAAATGGAGCCCCGTGAACACGGTGTGTCAGGTCGGGGTGGGTCCTGGGCAGGCAGGGTGCACACTCATTCCCATGGACTCCACCTTGTCGGGTTCCACATGTAAAGCAGGGTGGACCCAGAAAAGCCCAGTGGTATCCGTGTTTCTCTTACCAAATGATCATGAAAATATGGGAACCCCCGTGACATGGTGGCCAACATCGTGGCTCCATGCCTGGAAGGGCTGGTGACTGGGCTAGTGAGCTGTGTCACGTAAAGGAAGGGTTACTCCCCATTCAGTGGAAATAAAATTGATGCTTGTGAAAGGAGGCACAGTGCTAGGGTTTGTGGAGGTAGAGCGATGCTGAGAGGCAGACAGTATCCTTCTATTGACACAAGAGCACATGGAGACCCAGAAGTCTGGGTAACTTGCAGGTTGCTTACGTCCATGGTAAGAGGCAGGAGTGGGATTCGGACATCTGTCTGTGCGATTCCAAAGCTCACAGCTGCCCCGGGGAGTCTCGGTATTGCCTGCCCCTTCAGGGTAGATGATAGGGTTTTTTTCTGGGCAGCGGTGCGGGCAGCCCTCCCTTTGGGACATATAAGTTGACCCTATAATCTGCTTGTTTGAGGACACACTCTCTGCCCCATCCTAAAACCAGTGTAGGACCTGGTTTTAAACATTCAAGTTTTTTTCTTCTCAAAACATTTTGTGCTGTGAGAAGGATATGGAAAATAGCTCCTGAAAAACTCCTGCTTGAGTTGTGTGGAAGAACCCTGGGTGCTCTTGCAATGAGGGAGACTGAAGTTTTGAAGAGACAGTAAGTGGGGGGCAGCAGCTGTCGACCCCCAGCCTGTTCCAGTCCCTTCTCTGCGTGCAGGGTCTGTCTGTCTGTCTGTCTGGGGAAAGCTGAATAAAGATTTAGCCACTGCTTCTCTCTCTTCTCACCTGACCAGCTCCTGGGGTCTATTGTAAAGAATGCCTTTTTAGTCAGTTTCTCTCTCTAGGCAGAAAAGGATGGGTGACATTTACAAGAGCTGCACTCTCCTGAGGATCAGTATTTCCCTCAACCTGCAATGTACAAGTCAAAACAAATAATAGAGAGAGAGAGGGAGGAAGGGAGAAGTGGGAGGGAGGGAGGGAGGGAGAGGAAAGTATGTTCGCAAGAATATTCTTTGGAGTGATAGCTAAAGGATATGAAGTTTCTTCTTGAGATGATGAAAGTGTTCTAAAATTGACTGTGTGATGGTTGCACATATCTGTGAATCTACTAAAAAGCTGAATTTTATACTTGAAATGGGTGAAATGTATGGTGTGTGAATTATATCTCAATACAGCTGTTAAATGCGAGGGCGCGCGGGGGAAGCCTACTCTTCATACCAGGGCCTGTCCTCGGACTTGAACTTGGAAGGGCATGAGTGTTCAATCTCTGCCGGTGTTGGTCCCAGGAGTGGGGGTCCCAAGAAGGCAGTGAAGAGGCCTGAAAAGAGGCTCCATCTCTAAATGCAGCTACATCCCAAGTCCAGGGGCCTACGGTTGCGTTAGATATTAGTGGCAGCCTGGTTCATGGGCTGTTACTGCAGGAAGGGATGTTAGAGTCACGAGGTCCAATCCTCGCTTCTCGGATGCAGAAACTACGGCCCCGGGAGGGGACTGACTTGTCCGCAGAACACAGCTAGTTAGAGTCAGATCTGGGACCACGGCCCGTCTGCTGATGCTCATTCTAATGTCCTTCCCTTTTCCTTCCACAAAGAAGGACTGAAATACATGCTGGGGATCTACGCATAAACAGTCCGTCCTTCTGGAGAGTACAGTGTGGTGGGGGCTGGGTGGGGGCGGTGGTTAACAGGCTGTTCCATCACAGCTTGAGGCGTTTCGATAGGGGGAACAGAGGAGGCTGTGGGCAGGCCTGAGGAGGGACAATACACCTGGAAGGGAGTGTGTGTGTGTGTGTGTGTGGTGGCAGAGGTCAAGTGTGGCTCCCAGAAGGAAGTCACTTCCCATCTGAGATCTGCCTGATGACTAGAAACCAGCTGCAGATGGGGCTAGGAGGGGGAGGGGGAGAGGGCCCCCAGCAGAGCCCAAAGGAGAGGGGTCCGCTGGAACATTTGCGGCATTGAGGAGAGTTCAGTATGATTACGGAAGACTCTATTTGGGGAGTGAGCAGAGAAGGTGGAGGAATGAGACTGAAGAGATCTCTGCTGGGTTCTGCAGGACCTTCTAAAACTCCCTAAGGTGTTTGGGCTTTATCTCGAGGTTAACAGGCAGCCACTGACGAGTTTTCTGCAAGTTACTGTGGCATCCAAATTGTGCCAAGGGAGCTCTGCTCCAATGCCCTCAAAGTTCTTGGGTGAGCTTCATAACAGCTCTGTCGCTTTTTTTTTTTGGTGAGGAAAATTGGCCCTGAGCTAACATCTGTGCCAGTCTTACTCTATTTTGTATATAGGATGCCACCAGAACATGGCTTGATGAGTGGTGCATACATCCACCCCCAGGATCTGAACCTGTGAACCCCGGGCCACTGAAGCGGAATGTGTGAACTTAACCACTACGGCACCCGGCCAGCCTCCATAACGGCTCTCTTTTGTTGAGTGTGTATACTGCATGCCTGGTTCTGGGTCGAACTGAGGAACTCATTTAATCTCCACAACAAAGCAATAAAATATTTACCATGATTATTCACATTTTACAGATGTTGATAGCTGACACTTATTTAGCGCTATGTGGCAGGCATGTTCTCAGGACTTTACATATCTCGACAAACGTGCTCCTCATGGAAATCCTGTCTGGTAGGTACTATTAGCTATTATTACCTCTATGTTATAAACTGGGAGACTGAGGCACAAGAAAGATAGATTGCTTGTCCGAAGTCACGCTCGCCAGCCACAGACCCAGGCTTCACCCTCAGTCAGCCCCTCCAGAGTGGCTCTTAGCCACTGCACCGGCTGGCTCAGGTGGCAGTACTGCAGGTCATCCGTGTCACCTGCTCCATTTCTCTGAGCTCCATAATAGAAGAAAACCAAAAGAAAGGTGTAAAATTTAGAGAAAAACGAAAAATTTTCCCCTTATTGTTAACTTCCTTTCCCTCCTCCAACTAAACCAAGAAACGAACAACCCTCCTAGACGCAAGCCCGGAACCTCCTGGTCCAGGAAAGAGGGCGGGGCAGCAAGCAGGAAGCTGGAAGTCACACAGGAAGGGTAGAGCTCACGTCTGTGGGAGGATGGTGTGTGCAGAATTCTAAAATGGTCCCCATGGCATTCATGCCCTGGTGTTACTGTTGTGACTATGTTACAGCACTTGGCAAAAGAGCTCTTGCAGATGTAATTAAGGTTACTAATCAGATGACCTTAAAATTGGGAGATTATCCACACGGGCCTCACTCAGTTATGTCAGCCCTTTACAAGCCAAGAATTTCCTCCAGCTGGTGGCAGAAAAGGACACAAAGCGATCGAAGGATGAGAGGGATCTGATGTGGGGAGTACTCCATTGCTGAGATAGAGGCGGCCTTGGGAACAAGACCTGAGAGTTCAAGGCCTCTCAGGAGTGGAGAGCAGTCCCTGGCCAATGACCAAGAGAGAAACAGAGGCTTTAGTCCTACATCTAGACATCTAAGTTCTGCCAACAACAGGAATGAGTTTGGAAGATGATGCCCAACTCCAGATGAGAACGCAGCTAGCTGACACCTCGATTTCAGACCTCTGAGACCCAGAGCAGAGGACGCAGCCACACCCTCCCGGATGTCTGACGCACAGCACTGTGAGATAAGAAATGGGTGTTGCTGTAAAGTGCTAAGTTGGCCGTAACTTGTTACACTGCCATAGAAAATGAATACAGATTTTCGTGCTTGCAAGTGGGGTGTTGCTGTAATAAATAGGTAGAATCAAGCAGTGAAGGAATTTTAAGAAGCATCATAGAAAACGCCTAGCTTGTCTTGACCAGACTATTGGTGGAATTCCGGGGCTGTTGAGGGCTCCTGGGAACCTGTAATTAGGACATATTGGAATGAGGATTGCCCAATGGTGGCTTTTTTTTTTTTTTTACTTTTTTCCTTCCTTCTGCACTTGATAGTTGGAATTCTTCTTTCCCTCATCAACTGTTTGGTTAACTTGACATAGAGTTCATACAGGAAAGCCAGTGTGTTTGACTTTTCCCCTTATTTATCAGTTTTCAAGGAAGTTTTTATGCCATTATTCCAATCAAAGGGCTAAAGTCCAGAGAATGGATAGGTCACAGAGCCAAGATGTGACCCTGCGCTGTCTGATGGTCCAGCTTGTGACTCAAACACTGCACCTCATTGCCTCTTAGAGAGAAGGAAGATGGTCACGAGATAATGTTAGGTTAGTCAGGTAGATTATCCAAATATATCTCTATGAATCTCTGGATATATTTATAGACACGTAGAAAAAGATGGCAGGAAATACACCACTTTTTACAGCGGTTACCCTTGAAAAGCTTAAAAACTAAAAGCACCCAGAGCACTTGGGTTTCTTTGTTTCTAGTCCTTTCTTAAAGGCTGCTGAGAACCTATAAAAGGTACTGAGTTTCTCATGCTTGCTGTGTGACCAAACAGGGCATGTTTCTTATTTTATAAAGGTCTTTGCCGACCGTGTTCTTGAAAGCTGGCAGGTGTCACGTGGGGGAGCTTGGAAGCGTCTTTCCTTAGGGAGAAGTGGGGTGTGTCACCATCCCTCACTTCAACGTTTCCTGTCCTTTCTGTGGCTACTGTACGCTGTGGTTTGGCTGGGAAGAGTGCAGGCTCTGGAGTCCGATTGTTCAGGCTCACGTCTCTGCTTAGCCGCTTCCTTGCTGTGTGACCTTGGACACGTTACTTAACCACTTCGTGCTCCAGTTTACTCATCTCTGAAGTGGGGAGAGTCAGAGTACTCACCTCGTAGGGTTTTGGAGGGTTCAATGAGTTATTGTAAGATGCTGGGCTTAAAAAGTACTCAACACATGTTAGTCATGCCTGTGCAAGAGGCCCTAGGAGAATCATTGGCTCTCGATAGTTTTGCAGTTACCAGAATGTAAGGGAGGATGTCGTCCCCAGGTGCCGCGAGGATTACAGCCAAGCCCAGGCTCTCCTTCCTTGACACACATTTTCCCCCCATCCAATTTACCTTGGCACAAAAGGATAATTCACTGGTGCGTCCACATCCTGGTCCTGGACATAAATCGTCCCTACTTGTGCACGTGGTGACAGCTTCCAGGTCTCCTGGACTTTCTTCCCTGAGATTCCCATCGATGCTGTCTACACAAAGAGAGACTCTGGTGTGCCTGCCTTTCTCTGAAGCCATCTTTCTTGGGAGGAGAGCGGGTAGGGGTGAGGGGTGAGGGGCCTGAAGAGGAGGGGGGTGGGAGAAAGACCATCCCGGGCAGCATGTGACAGCAGCCTGGCCTAGAAATACCAGGCCAGCTACCTCCCAACAAGGCTGGCCCCGCACCAGGCCCGCGCTGCCTGGCCGTGGGGGGAAAGCCGGTCTAGGACGAAGCTGGTCCCAGCCCTGGGGAGCCGGTGAATGGTTATTTGTGAAGCTAGTTCTTGGTTCGATTTTCTCCTCAAGTACCACATTTTCTTTCTCTTTTACCACACAAGTGCAGGCTGCTTGGCGAGTTCTGACCAGTCCCACCCTACTAACTCATCCGATTGACTTGCATAAACAGCTCTCTTGTGGGTCCGGCTGAAGCCCAGATTCTCAGTTGGGATCCCAGGAGTGAGGGCAATCATTCTATTTCATTCACAAATGTTTGGACTTTGGGTCAGAAGCTTCTGTGGAAAGGAGCAAAAGAGAAAATGACTCTCAATGAAATGTTCTTCAATTTTGGACACCACTCAAGGAGTATTAGGAATGTGGGTGAAGTTTTCTCATTCGCTCATTTCATTCTCTTATTTGTTCATTCACAGGAGAAATATTTATTGATTCTTTTAAATAGTGCTTTTCAAACTCTTTTTTTTTAGCAGCAGAAGCCCTATTTAACAAAATCTTCATGAAATCCATTCTATAAGGGTCTGAAGTTCAGAGAGATTCAGTGACTTGCCGGAGGCGTCCATGCTGGTTAATGGGGGTGCTGGGTAGTATCCAGATATTCTTAATTTCTAACCGTTGGGTCAATATGCC